GTGGCAGGCCCACACCTGCGCCCTGTTTACAACCACAGCCTGGCAAGCTCGCCTGCGGCTCTGAGCTGTGGTTTTCCAGCCTGGGACGTGGGCCCAGTCAGAGGACCTCTTTCCAGAAGGGCTGATGGCGGGGGACGCACACGCAGGGCGCTCGGTGGGCGCGACCCCGGCACGTGTTCCCCCGTGGCCGTTAGTCTGATGCCTCTGGATCCAGGCATGTGGCTGCGTGGCTGTGGCATCACGGAGGCTGTGGGCTGCGAAGCGTGGTGGCCGGACCCAGAGGAGTCTGGGTTCGAATCCCGAAGTTGCCCCCCAATGCGGCTGGGACTCCCGGGGAGCGGCGGTGGGGCTGAGGGCTACTTCCCTGTGTGCCGGGCGGGGGCTCCAGGTCTGCACACGCGGTGTGAGCCCGACGGGCACGAAGGGGGTCCTCCCAGTGCCCCGCGTCCCCAGCGCCCCCACGAGGCCCCCAGGAGGGTGCGGCCGTCTGCTCTCCGACAACGGGCCTGTCCGGGCGACCTGCGCAGCGGCCCGCAGTGGGGCCCCGGTTGGGGGGACGGGAGCCGGGGCTGAAGCACGCGCGCCCCGCCCTCGTGACTGCGGGCTTCCTGGACGTCATTTGTCTCCTTGACTCACCGCCCGTGGCCCGGCCCTCCCGCCGCCCGGAGTGGGCCCGGCCCCTCGGAGAGCCCCGGCCGTGGCCGCGCCAGTGACTGATCGGGGATGAGGCCTCTGTCCCCGCCGTCGGGAGCCAGAACGTTGATTGAATGGCCATCTCAGTCTCTCCAACAAGCAAGTAACAGTGTAAACTGGGGTCTAATTCATCAAAAACAGGGGCTGTGTTCGGCGCGGGCTGTGTTCGCCGCTGAAATATGGCTCCTGCCCAGCTCTGAGCCACGTGCGGACGATTTTATGATATTTCAGTTTTATGGGGGACATCTCGCTGATGAATGTCTCTTAGTGAACGATCATTCTGAAATCTATTTTGCCTTCAAAGAGGCTTCTGCTGCAATGGCCTGGGAGGGGGCGGCCCCCCTCCGGTGTATAAATCCGCTGCCAGCGGCAGGGCCTGGCGGGGGGATGGCAGCGGCCAGGAGACGGGCACGAGGCGCGAGCCTGAAGCTGAGCCCGTCCTCGCTGTCGCCGTCCGGGGCCACCAGCAGGGGCCAGAGGGGACCATGGCGCCCAGCGGCCCATGTTGGCACCCCCGGGCAGGCTGAGCTGCACCCCCAGTTACACGGGGACCCCAGAGCCCGAGAGCCTTCCCTCTATCGGCTCGGGTTCGCTCTCCGCCTCATGCGGGGCCGACAGCCCGGGCGGTGGGGGCTCCGAGCACAGAGCCCCTGTTTGGTCTCTCCTGGGATACCCTGAGCTTGTGCCCATGACCCCAACAAAGCCTCTGGGTTCGAAGCATCCGGGTCCTGGCCCTGGCGCTGGCAGCCGGGGGTCCTGGCCGATACCGTGCAGGTGGACCCTGACATGCCCCTGCCCCCCTGCAGCCAGAGACGCCCCCCAAGCCCTCGCTTTCCCTGCAAGAAGGGGCACAGCTCCCCTCTGCTTCCTTTGCCTTCAGGCCCTGGTTCTCAAAGCGGGGTCCCGGGCGGCCACTGCAGCCTCGCCCGGGAGTCCGTTACACGCGCACGCCCCCGAGGCCTCGTCCAGGCCCCGCGGTGGGGCCGGCAACCCATGTTTTCACAGCTAGGTTCATTTTCTGTTGCCGCTGGAACGTACTTAGTGACTTAGAGCGACACGAATTTATTACATGACAGCTCTGTGGGCCGGAGTCTGACCGGGTCCCTCGGGGCTAACATCAAAAGTGCCCGCAGCCGGTGTCCTTCCTGAGGCTCCAGGGGCCAATCTACTCTGCTATTCCGACTTCTAGAAGCTGCCTGCAGTCCTGGGCTCACGGCCCTCCCACCGTCCTCGGACCCAGCCCCGTGTACCTCTCCGAGCGTTCTCTTGTAGTCACGTCGCCCTCAGGGCCACGTAAGCGTCCAGGAGGTCAGCGCGATAGGCAAGGTCACTCGGCTCTCCAGCAGCACCCTGGATGCCCAGCCAGGCCTTCCTGACCTGACTTCACTCCAGCGCCCACAGCCTGTTGCAGCTTCTAATCTTGGACCGTGTGGATCCTTCTGCCCTTCCAGAACCTTCCAGACCATTCTGCAGGGCTCCACATGTGCCCTTCACAGTCACTTCGTTGGCATGTGATGTGTGGCCCCCATCTCAAGGCCCTAGTCACTCCTGCAAAGTCCCCTTTGCCCTGGGAGTCCCACATTCCCAGGCTCAGGCATTAGGAAGCAGACCTCCCTAGAAGCCCATGGTCCTGCCGACCACACGTGCCCCTGACCCCAGCGCTCCGACGCAGCCTGACCTCGGAGAGAAATGTGTTCTAACAAATCCTTACACCCTTGCTCCAAGCTCATCAGAGGGGGACCCTGTTTTGTTCACACAGGCGCCCACACACCTATCAAGGACCAAAAACTTTCGTTATTGAATGAGCTAAGGTGGGAATGAATGCACGAATGAGAACCCCCCCCCCCCACCCCCCAGTCTTCCTTCTCAGGAAAGGAAGACTTCCTTCTCCTTCCTTTCCCAAGGAGAGTTCAGAATGAGGGCCAGGGGACCCGAGTGTGGCTGCCACCTAAAACACAGGATCTGAGTTAAACCTGAACCTCAGATAAACAACGAGTGATGTTGGCCCTGGGGAATTCACGGTCTCTCCCAACTCCATTTCCTGCCTGATGTTCAAGGGACCCGCCCCTTCTCTTGTCAGACCCCATCCTCTCCTTGTCCTCCAGCAATCAATGTTCTCCTCTCCGCCTGGAGATCGGGAGCGCCTTCCTTGCAGAGGACAACCAGGTGCAGAGGGCGGGCTCGGGCCTGGCCTGCTGGCCCCACACCTTGGAAGACTTGAGGTCAACGCCAGGATGGTGGGGTTGCTTATAACGACCAGGATTGGCCTGACCCATCCCCATGCTTCCGGAAGTCACCGAGACCTCGCAACCTCTACGAACAAAACCAGGCTATCAGTTGCCCTTATGGGTTCCAAGAACTTGTAGCAAAAAAAAAAAAAAAAAAAAAAAAAAAAAAAGTATTAATGACAATTCTTGATTTTATCTTTGGAGACATAAAGGAAAAGAAGCTACATAAAAGAAAACCCACTTAAGCATGTGATCCACCCTTAAGAGGAACCACCGTGCACATTCGCACGTCAGCCCGCAGAGTTCAGGAGCCCCCCAGTTTCCCCAGCCCTCCCCAACTCCCCCCACCCCCGGCCCCCGTCTTCCTTCCTAGGATACTGATTATCCTTTGATCTTCCGAATAATGTGTTCCTTTCCTGGTAATACGTTTCATCATCCTCACAGCCTATTGATTAGAGCTCTCTTGCAGGGTTTTGAGATACTGGCTAAAATCAGGGACAGAATAATTGAGCATTGGGACGACGTGTCAGAGGAGCTGTTTGTGGTGTCCTCTGACTCCGGGAGTAAGCAGCTGCTGGCCGCTTGCTATGGCTTGCGTGCGGCCTTTTGTCATCGCCGCTTTTGTTTTTGGCTGCGCAAACTGGGCGACCATAGCAGGCTGCCCAGCATGACCCCCTGGGTGCACCTGGGGGCAGGGCTGTGGGAGAGGGAGCTAGGAAAGGGGCGGGCACCCACAGGCACGTCTCCTGGCTGAGGTCGGGGTGTGGTGGCTTATTCACGGAACCCTAAGTCCAGGGACTTGTACGCAGAATCTCTGCATTTAAGGTAAAGGGAGTGATGTATCACATGTCAATGAGGTGACCATGTGAAGAGTCACATGCAGAGCGCTGCAGAATGGTCTGGAAGGGTCTGGAAGGGCAGAAGGGTCCATAGGGTCCATGATTGGAAGCCACAGCGGGCTGTGGGCACTGGTGTGAAGTCAGGTCAGGAAGGCCTGGCTGGGCATCCAGGATGCTTGCTGGGGAGCTGAGTGACCTGTGAGCATGGGGGTGGTGGTGACAGGCTTGTCCCAGGACCGTCCCTCGGGTGGTGCACGTGTGCAAGGACACGTGCCTGCCGGGAAAGCTGGTGTGACCGTGGGGGGCAGGAAAGACGTGAGTCTGCATTCAGCGAAAGCCTCGGCTTCCCTGTTCCCTCGACCCTCACTCGGGGGCCTCACCCCCTCCTCTCCAGGAGCCACCACACGGCTCGCTCTTCCCGTGCACAGCTGGGTGGTTTTGTAGCTAACGACTCATGAAAAAAGAGGTAACCTGAACGTGCCTCCACAGGAGCCGGCCAGGGGTCAGCTTGTAACCCCAAGGATTCAGAGGCACTGCGTCAAGGTACAATTTTAGCTTTGCATTTGATTCCTGAGGACACTGAATGTTTGGGGGTTCGGGGTGTCTTTTGTTTTGTTTTTTGTTTTTTTAATTTCTGTCTCAAAACGTCTGGTGAGACAGGAAACCAAGCCCTTCCAAGTGAGTGCAAGGACATGGTCTTTCTGGAGGCTCCCTTGCTGCATGCGGGGCCCCATCCATCACTTTCAAGAGCTCGATGGAACTGTTGCAAATACAATCAATCATCTTTTTATTGAATTAAGACAAATGGGTGGTTATTAATAGGCTAAGACTTAATGAGGGAAATGGATAACGTGGCCCAGCGAGGAGGAAAGCAGTATGTTCTGAGCTCTCCTTGGAAAGATCTAGAAGCCTCTTCAGTCAGGAAGGCCTGGGCTGCTAGGTCCCCGGTGACTTGTGCTAAGAACTTAGGAATCAGAAACCACTGGCTTGACCCTTTCTTACCCCTTCCAGCTGTTCCATCTTCACTCAGTGACTTGACTTCTCTGAGCTGCGTCTCCTCTGGGCTAAGTGCGTGTGGAAGACGCTTGGCTAGTACAGTGGGTGACAGGAGAGACACCGGGTGCCCCAGGGAACACGGTCAAAGCCTCCAACAGCTGCGTACTGCACGGAGATGGATGCGGGGGCGCACCACCTCCATTCCGAGGGGCTGCAGCAGCCGTGGGGATGGGGCGTGGTGGGGGGGCGGGGGGCAGGGGGTGCACAGCCAGGCTGGGGCACCCGCCGGCCTCTCTCCGAGCCGGGTTTCCAGGAATCCTTGGAAAGGAGCACAAGAGCCGTGCGGCGTTCCAAGCGTGTGGTCTTGCTTTGGGCTGCCTGGCATCTGTTTGTGGCAGTGCTTCTGGGGAAACAGATTGTGTTTATGTCAGAGAGAAAAGACCATGTTTCAGGGCAATCACTGCAGCTTGTTAGGTCAAACCCACGCCCCCAGCCCCATATGCCCAGGCAGGGTGCCTTGGACCCCCTCCGTGCCAGCAGCCCAAGCCTCACCACGGGGTGGCTTCAGGGGGAGCCCCACTGGGGTGCAGGAGGGTCAGTGGCATCCCCCGAACGGCAGCATTCAGGTGCCTCCAGCTTCTCTCCCTTCCTCGCTGGGCGCCTTCAGCCACACCTGCTCCAGCTGGGCTCTCTGCTGGGCAGTCAGGGGGCTGGGAGGGGCTGCCGGGGGTGTCAGGGGGCAAGTCAAGAAGACTCTGCGCTCAGGGCCTCAGACCAGGCCCCCCAGTCCTCGTCAGGAGGATGCTGGAGGGAAAAGCAGAGGATAATGACTGGTCTGTGCTGAAAATGTGCCCTCGTTATCGCCTGCAGGGTGTGATGGGAGAGCAAGCAGGAGCTGCAGGCTGGTCTCCTGCCCCAGAGACTGCGGGCCTCCTGGGTGACCAACCCAGTGAGCTTCTCCACCCTGTCATCCTTCCCCTAGAGGCTGCCCCACTCACCAGGGAGCCCCTTTCCCTCAGACTCTGTGCTGCTTCCTTTTTGGGCTCTCCCTGATTTTCCTGGCTGCCCCCCAGGGCTCCCTTTTGATACCACCTCTTCCTCGGCCAAACCCTTCAGCCACAGGATCCTCTGGTGTGGCCTGATTAAACCTCTACTCTGTCTTTGTCCCTGGCTCCTGGGAATTCCCTGAGGCCCATCTTGTGTTGTTCACCAGGAACCCCTTTGATCACACCTGGGGTTATGCTAAGGAGCTGGCTCAGGTGGCCCCAGGGTGGCTTGGGGGGGGGGGGCAGGTCTGCAGGAAGACCAAGCACAGGAACAGAGGCTGGGATTTCAGCCCAGCCCCCAAGCTCCGGGGAGGGGAGGGGGCTGAGGAGGAAGCTCTCCAGAAACTCTTGAACAAGGCGATTTGGGGAGCTTTGGGTTGGTGGGCACATGGAGGTGCTGGGAGGGGGGCATGCCCAGGGAGGGCAGGAAAGATCTGCGAACACCCCCGTGCCTCCCCCAGACCTCATTTCCACGTGGCTGTTCCTGCATCAGAGCCTTTATGATAAACGGGTAAAGGTTCGTAAAGTGTCTTCCTGAGTTCTGTGTATCATTCTAGCAAATTATGGACGCCGGGGACGCGGTCACAGGAAGCCCCGAATCTATAGCAGGTTGGTCAGAAGTACAGGTGGTCCCTGGGACTTGCAGCCAGTGTCTGCGGTGAGGGGGGTCTTGTGGGAGACCCAGAGTCAGAGTCCCAGGTGAGCTGTAGAAAGGCCAGCTTGGGCCAGAGAGCTGGAGACCCAGAACCGGCTGGGGTGGGAGAAAGCCACACAGCTGAGGCTCAGCCTTAGCCCTCTTCTTGCTTCCCCTACTCAGCCTGGAGGCTCCCATCCATCCCCCTGTCTCCTCAGCACATCATTTATTTGATCCTGTTGGCCCCCGTGCTCAGGACACGGGTTGGAAGGGGCCCCTACTCTCGGGGAGGTTATGCCGTAAGAGACTCAGCCATGATCCACGGATGTCAGCTGCCCTCACCCCGTGTGGTTGGCCCCAGATCCAGACCTCACACCCAGCTCTCATACTGCGGGTGCCTCCCGCCCTACAGGGACACCCCAACTCCAACACACTCCACAGCCAAAAGGCTCACCTCGGCAGAGACTCCCTCTTCACCCGCCATCCATTTTGGCTGCCAAAGAATCAACAAAGCTGGGTTTGTGGGTCCTCTGTGATCGTTAAGGCTACTGCCAACTGTTGCATTGTGTTATTTCGACACATCTTTAGCCGTGGGTTTAATTAGGGCCATAAATGCAGGATTCCTAAACCAGAGGTTACGTGTCAGCAGCAATGCAGACGCACAGCTTTCTCCCTTGACCGTGAGTAAAGGTTTAACCCAAAAGACAGGTGGGCTCTCATGGTCAAAAGATAATCGCCTTTACGTTAGAAATAGAATTTATCTTGAGTTCTGCAATTGTATCTTGTCATTTCTTGACAGAAATCCGATTTGCTAAGGGGAGTTGCAAAGGCCACCTCTCTGGGCACCCGGGTCTTGACTGTACGGCCCAGTGGGGCACAGCCTGTCTAGTCACACATCTGAAGGGGGACATTCTGGAGAGGGAAGCATGAAGGGGAAGGGACCGAGTCCACACTCCAGAGCAAAACATGGTGGCCCCCCACAACTGAACAAGCCTCAAAGTGGGGATGCAGGTGTTTGCAGGAACATGAGACAGACAGGTCATTCTTTTATTGAGATTGATTGCTTGATTTGAGAGAATGAAAGAGACAGAGTGAGCACACAGGAGCAGGAGGAGGAGCAGAGGGAGAGGGACAAGCAGACTCCCCATGAGCATGGAGCTGACGCAGGGCTCCATCCCACGACCCTGAAATCATGACCTGAGCCGAAATCAAGAGTCAGACACTTAACTGACTCAGGCGCCCCTAGACAAGTCATTCTTTACCCAGGATGGCTGCAGAGACATTGTTTCAGATGTCGCCTGGAAAATCATTCTAATCACATGGCAGGTGTAGGACACAGACATCTCTGCACAGCCTGAAGGCCTCTTGGGCACATGTACAGACTCTCTGCCCTCCCTTCCGCTCTGCCTCTCAGCATTTATGGTCTGAAGTACCCGTACTTCATGGCCATGTCCCTGCTCACGACAATGCTCTCTCATCCTATAATCTGCCTAGGAAATGCCTGCTCCTTCTTAGGACTCAGCTTGGACTATCTTATCTAGAGCAGGTATCTGGTCTGCTGCCTATCCCGTGCCCTTCCTTCCTCCAGGTAAAACTAGCCTCTCCTTCTGGGAAGGGAACCTGCTTCTGCCTATCTGTGGCCCCAGCACAGAACCTCACCTTGGTGGCAGCTGATGACCAAGGAAAGCTAATCACTGACCTCCATGGGCTTTTGCCCTGAGCAAGAAGAAGGACACCTCCTCTCTAGTGACAAACCTGGTGGGGAGAGGTCCATGCAAGGAAAACTAAAACACTCTGATGAATGAAATAAAAGAAATAAATGGAGAGGAGTCCCATGTTCATGGACAAAAAGCCTCAATAGTCTCAAGGTGTCAGTTTTTTCCCAGCCTGATCCATAGAATCAATGCGATCTTGATAAGAATCTGAGAAAGTTGTTGGATGGATATCAACAAAATCATTCTAAAGTTTATGTGAAGAGATGAGGACCTCAGAATAGCCAACACAACACTCAAAGAAAAGAGGAAAGTTGGAGGCCTCACATTACCTTCCTTCAAGACTTACAGCAAAGCTACAGTGATCAAGACAGGGGAGTGTTGGCAAAAGGACAAATAGATCAACAGAGAAGAATGGGGAGCTTGGAAATAGGTCCACGTAAATATAGTCACAGATCTTGACAAAGGGGCAAAGGCAGTACAATGGAGCAAAGATGGGCTCTTCAAGAAATGGTGCTGGAACACCCGGGCATCACATGCAGGACAGTGAATCTAGACCCAGACTTTATGGTCTCCACAAAAATTAACTCAAAATGGACCATAGGCCTACATGTAAAATATAAAACTTTATATAAAACTCCTAGAAGAGTGCAGCCCGGTGGCTCAGCCGTTTACTGCCAGCTTCAGCCCACGGCATGATCCTGGAGTCCCAGGATCGAGTCCCACATCGGGCTCCCTGCAGGGAGCCTGCTTCTCCCTCTGCCTGTGTCTCTGCATCTCTCTCTCTGTGTGTCTCTCATGAATAAATAAAACAAAAATCTTTAAAAAAATAAAAATAAATAAATAAATAAACTAGAAAATCACAGAGGAGATACCCTAGATCACCTTGGGTTTGGTGATGACATTCTATTGTATTTAAAGATTTATTTATTTTAGAGAGAGGGAAGAGCATGAGAGTGAGTGGGAAGAGGGCCAGAGGGAGAGAGAGACCTTGAAGCCCAACACAGAGCTCTAGCCCAGGACCCTGAGGTCATGACCTGAGCTGACACCAAGAGTCCGTCACTCGAATGACTGAGCTCCACCCGGGCGCCCCTTGGTGATGACAATACAGACACAAGGCCAAAGGCACGATTCATAAAGGAAATAATTGATAAGCCGACTGCATTCTAATGAGAAACTTCCACTCTGTGGAAGACACTGGCAAGAGTATTAGAAGACAAACCACAGACTGGGAAAAATGTTCACAAAAGACACATCCGATAAAGGCCGGTCAGCTCAAATATACAACAAACACTTAAACATCAACAATAAGAAAACAAACACCCCAATTTAAAAAATGGACTGGGCACACCTGAATGACTCAGTGGTTAAGTGTCTGCCTTTGGCTCAGGGCATGACCCTGGGGTGCTGGGATCGAGTCCCGCATTGGCTCCCTGCAGGGAGCCTGCTTCTCCCTCTGTCTTTGTCTCTGCCTCTCTCTCTGTGTGTTTCTCATGAATAAAATAAAATCTTAAAAAAAAATGGATCAAGGGGATCCCTGGATGGCTCAGCAGTTTAACACCTGCCTTCGGTTCAGGGTGTGATCCTGGGGTCCCGGGATCAAGTCCTGCATCGGGCTCCCTGCATGGAGCCTGCTTCTCCCTCTGCCTGAGTGCCTCTCTCTGTGTCTCTCATGAATAAATAAATAAAATCTTTAAAAAAATGGATCAAAACCTTAATAGACACCAAAGATGTACAGGTGGCAAATCAGTCCATAAAAAGATGCTGCACATGAGGTGCCATCGGGAAGTGCCGAGGACAGCAGTGACACCACTACACACCCCGTAGAGTGGCTAACCTCAGGGTCACTGACAACACCCAGCGCTGGCGAGGATGTGCAGCAACGGGAGCGCCCATCCAGGGCTGGTGGGCACGCAGCAGGGCGCAGCCACTGTGCAGGGCAGCTTTGTGGCTTCTGACGCAACTAAACATTCCTCCACTGCACGACCCAGAAATGAAACCCTTGGCGTCTACCTACCTCAGGGATTGGAAACACGTCTGTATGAAAACTTGCACACGCATGTTGACAGCAGTTTTCTCCGTAACTAACTAAACTGGGAAGCAACCAGCGTGCTCCTCGGCAGGTGAGTAGGTGGACGGACTGCAGTCCATCCAGACAACCGGAATATTACTCGGCACTGAAGAGAAGTGAGCAGCCAAGGCCTGAGGAGACAGGAGGAACCTTCAGGTGCAAAGAAGCCCATGAAAAGGCCCAGCCCAGACGATTCCAGCTCCATAACCTTCTGAGGAAAGCAAAGCGCAGAGATGGTAAGAGGCCTATGGTGGGCGGGGGGAGGGGATGAACACGGGAGCCCCAAGGGTTCTCAGGGCAGCGAAACTTCTCCATGTGACGTTGTGACAATGGATGCGTGCCACCGTCCGTTTACCCAAACCCAAGGAACACACGACACCCGGAGTGAGCCCTGACATGCGGCACGGGCTTTGGGCGATGACCACGTATTGACGCAGGTGCGTCGACTGTGACAAATGTCCCACTGTGCTCAGGGGCGCCGATGCTGGGGGAGGCTGTGCCTGCGGTGGGGGGCGACAGGGAGGCGGGAAATCTCTGCAATTTCATCAATTCCTCTCAATTTCAATCACAAATCTGAAACTGCTTTTTAAAAAGTCTTTAAAAAAATTAAGTGATAGCACAGGATTTGTGGGTTTGTTTTTTTTTTTTTAAACGGAGCAGCTGCTCTGGGGAAGACAGGATGCTGTGTCCTGAAAGGACGGCAGCAAACCGGAGAGCATCCCTGGCCTCATATTGGATGGGAAGGTGTGTCTGACACCCATTTCCTACCTCGTCTCTGCCCCATCCCCAGAGGCCCCGAGGGCTCCCCCCAGGTCACAGCTAAGGGGCAGGTCCCCGCCCCCATGCCTCTCCCGGGGTCAGGGCACTGGGTCTCACCTGCTGGTCATGCCCATCCCCATCCCACCACCACTACCACCACCTCCATCTCCCGCCAGCGCACTGGGTGGCCTCTCATCAGGAGAGTGCTGGGCCCGGCCACAGGAGAGGCACGTGCCGTCTGTTGGTCCGTCCTCCAAGTCATCCCCGTGCAGCCCATCTGGGACACAGCCTCCCTCGGGTCCACGGAGGCAGGGACCGGAGAGGGGGGAACCCTTTGCGCCTCCTCAGCGCGGTGCTCTGGAGACCCCCCCACAGCAGTAGGGTCCCCTCCACTCTGAGCCGCCCTCCGGATTGCAGGCCGGCAGTGAGCAGGCCCGTCTGTTGGCCCGAGTGGGGCCGAGCCACCGTCATCTGAGCTACGGCCTCATTCATCAAGGCTTCCGCCTTGAAAGAGGCTTATTTATGGCATTTCTTTCTGTCCTCATAGCACGGAGTCCCAGGCCCTGAGCCGCTGCCCGTAAGGCCTGCAACGGCGGCCGTGGCCAGCCGGCGGCCCCCCACCCGGCCGCCTCAGAACCTCGCAGCGGGGCCCGGGGCCTCTGTTCTTCCCGAGGTCGCCCGGTGTAGGCAGGAGCTGCTGGCGGCCCCGAGCAAGCTATTTAAAAGCCTGCTAACAAGGAGTCTTTGGCTGTGTGGAGAAAGTACCAGAATGGTGCTCTCGTGGGCAACTTATTCATTTTAGTGCCACTCAGAGAGGTCTAAAAAGAGCTGATAAATACTTAAAATCAGAATAATCCTGAGAGCGTTCTACGACACAACTGGTGTCTAATTAGCCCCCGATCCCTGCTAGGAAAGCAGGAGAAAGACATCGTTAAACCATTTATATACCCGTATGGCTCTTCCTCCCTCCAGCATACCTACCACCGAGTCCCCCACCTTGTTCCTCAGTGGGGAATGAAACGAGTCACCATGTGGATGGCAATCCAGGGGGACCACGGGACTGTGACCAACGGAGCATCCCAAGGCTGCCCGTCCTGGGGAGCGGGGCCAGGAGCCAGGGCGGCTGGACGGGCCAGTAGGTAAGAGGGGTGGCTGGGGGACGCATGGGGACCCCTCTCCACCCAGGCCGATCAGGATGCGGGGAGCCCGGAGCCCGTAATGCAGGCAGGATGGTGACGTGTCCCCCCCCCCGATGGCTCCTCACCAGGCCCCGGGCTTTTTTTCTCATCACCTGCTACGCGGGATTCACCTGCACATAGCACAGCAGCGGATCCCGACGCCTTTCTGCTCTCGGCGCTGGTTGCCCGGCCAGCATGCGCTAAGCGCGCTCCTCTTCCCGGGGGACACCTGCCGCGCGGGGAGGACACGGAGGCCGGTGGGGTGGGGTGGGCGGGGGAGGCTGCAGGATCTTGGGCGCGCCGGGATAGAACTGCCCGCAAGGAGGAGCACAGGCGACAGGAGCCGAGTCCACACAGCGGGGTCGCCCGCCAGCCGCCCCTTGGAGCTGGGTCCCTCTGCCGCGGGCCGCAGTGCCAGCTGCTCAGGGAAGATGAGCTTTACCCCGCGGGCGGGCGTGGGGCTCCTGGGAGCCGAGCTGCGCTGCGGGTGCAGATGGCGATGCCCAGAGTGGGCGGGGGGAGCACCCCGGCCTTCGAGGAGACTTCGCTTCAGGGAAGGAAGACAAGGGGCAGAGTCTGGGGGGAGGTGCCCATCCCCGAGGCCACGGTGACAGCGCCCCACACCCCGGGGGCCCAGCGAGGGTCCCGGAGGCTGGCAGCCCCCGAGCGGAGCTGCGTGTTCGGGGCCTGGTGAGGGCCCTCTGCTTCTGGACGTTCCGTCGGGGTGGAGAGGCCTCTTCAGAGGACACCAGTCCCCCCTGGGCCCCAGCCTCACCCCTACGCGCCCAACAGGGGCTGCTGCCCACACTCCACACGTGCATGGACGCGGGCGGACACAAAGCGGCACCCTGCAGGTGCCTTAGCTCTGGAAGGCAGATGGGGCTCAGTGGGGTGGGGTCCAGAGCCCACGACCAGGAAAGTATTCTCGAGACATCCTTGGTGCAAATCGGAGGTTTTATGAAAGCCCAGGGCCAGGCCCTGGAGCAGCAAGAGCTGCTGCCCGGCTGGGAGGGCTGCCTGGCTCTGTCCGGGAGGTCGGGGAGGGCTCCAAGTGGATTCCCTGTGTCGAAGAAGACTCACAGGCTCCCCGGGCTGCTGCAGACCTTGCCCTCCTCACGTTAGGGCTGTTTCCCTCTAGAGGCATTAACGTGGGGATGTGGGGACAGCTGGATGTCACACCCCTCCCATCGGGGGGCGGGGAGGGTTTTTGGGGTGTCAGCCTGTGCTCTGTCCTCAGCCTCATCAGCTGGTGCTCTGTGCCACGAGGAGCTCCTGGAGGCCGGTGGGGGAGGGGGGGAGAGATGCTCTGTGGGGAGGGACCTTGAGGAGGCGCTGGACGGGGAGGGATGGGGAGGAGGTGCTGGACGGTCGTGTGCGCAGCTCAGGGCGCAGGCCGGGAGCAGCAGGAAGAACCAGAGCCCAGGCTCCGGGGGGACAAGGGCAGGAGCCCAAGGACCCCGCAGCGGCCTGCTGAGGACCCGTGGGGGGAGGGCGACCGGAGAGGCCAGGGGGCCGGGCTGCCCGTCTGCAGGAGCCCTGCTGGCTTCGTCACATGCTGCGTCCCAGGAGGGACAGAGAGCCAAGCAGGGGTGCTGCCTCGGGGACGCCCTCTAGGTCAAGCGCAGCCAGCTGGGGAGGGTGGCCCGGGCTGGGGCTGAGCAGCGGCCCGATCTCAGGTGTTTCCAGGCAGGCTGATGAGAAGAACGTCCAGAAGAGGAGAGTTTGGGGGGTGTAAGATGGGGGCACGAGCGGCCAGAAGGGGGAGACACTGTCGGGGGGGGGGCCTGTGAGCAGACGTGGGCAGTGAGGTGGACGGTCACACAGGCGGTCTGGAGATCTCGGGGGAGGTCAGGAGTCCCCACGGTATAGACAGATCTGAAGGCAAGTGATTGGGGGGGACAGAGGCTCCCGAGGTGCCGTCCAGGGTGGTCAGGCTCAGGCCCAGGACGTGCGAGCCACCAGCTGCAGAGACCACAGGAAGCCTGCCGCCCGGGAAGTAAGGAGCCACCGCAAGAGAGCTTCCGGGACAGGAGAGCACACGTGTTGGGGGCCACCAACACATCTCGCAGGCTGAGGCCGCACGGTGGCCACTGGCTTCAGCAGCTCGGGTCATCGGGGGTCAGGACCCGACAGCTCACTGGAGCGCTCGCCCCAAGGCCCAGCTCCTCACCCCTCCTCCCGTGCCCCTCCTCTCCCTCTCCCTCCCCTCACCCCCCCTTCCCCTCTCCTCCCTTCTCTTCCTCTCTCCCTTCCCTTCCTCTCCCCTTTCCCCTTCTTTCTCCTCCCCTTTTCTCCCCCTCCCTTTCCCCCTGTCCTACCCCTTCCCCCTCCCCCTCCCTCCTGCTCTAGCCTGTCCCCCTCCATCCCCTCTCCCTCCCCTCCCTCTCCTCCCCTCTCCTCCCTCTCCCCCTTCCCTTCCTCTCCCCTTTCCCCTTCTTCCTCCTCCCGCCTTGCCCCCCTCCCCTTCCCCTTCCCCCATCCTTCTCCCTCCCCCCTCCCCCCTCTATCCCATCCCTCTCTATCCCCTCCCTCCCTTCCCTCCCATTCCCCTTCCCCCATCCTTCTCCCACCCCCCTCCCCCCTCTATCCCATCCCTCTCTATCCCCTCCCTCCCTTCCCTCCCCTTCTCCTCCCTTCCCTCTCTCCCTGACCCTCACCTTCCCCTCTCCTCCCTCCTCCTTCCTCTCCCCTTTCTCCTTCTTCCCCCTCTCCCTTCTCTCCCTCTCCCTCCTCCCCCTCTATCCCCTCCCCTTCCCCTCTCTTCCCTCCCCCTTCCTCTCCCTTTTCTCCTATTCCCCCTCTCCCTTCTCCCCTGCACAACTATCGCAGACAGCTCACTAAGTGCCAGGAGGCTCTGGGTACCGGGGTACAGCTGTGAGCAGAGCAGGTGGACGCCCCGCGCCCCCCCCCCCCCCCGCCGGAGCCCACATCCCCACAAGAGTGAGGCCAGCCGTAGTAGCAGGTAGCAGCAGTACGGTGAATCTGAATCGTCTAGGGTGGGTGGAGCATGAGGCTCTGACACTAGGAGGCTGAGAGGCACACCTGTGCCTCCCGAGCCCCTCCTGAGACCTCGCCTCCCATCTGCCAGGCTCCGCTGGGGACAAAGTTTCTACAGGAGCGGGTCACTCCAGGCCCTCGCAGCCATGACTGTGGGTGCACCTCACGCTCCTTGATAAGGAGGTGCCTCCAGCCTGGTTCGTCCACCCCCACCCGCCGCCCCTTCTCTGGCTCTGGCTTCAGAGGGCATGTCCTCCCCCCGGGGTCGGGGATCTGATCACCCAGACCCTTCATCCCCGGCCTCACACCCAGGAGAGGCGGCTGCCTGGCACGTCCAAGGAACCGGGAGATCAGAGCTCTTTCCAAGAAGGGAGCAGGGCCCCCAGGGCCTGACCTCACAGGTGGGACCCAGAGTTCAGAGGGCTCAGCAGGCCTGAAAAAGGACGCCTTCGTCCCCTCCCCGAGCTGGAGAAGCACATTCATCCCCAGGATGCTGCTGGTTTGACAGGGCCAAGCCGGCTCCTCCACCAGACCCTCCCCCTGGGCCCCAAGGCCAGTCCTCCTGGCCCCAGAGACAGTCCCCAGTCCTGGCTCCTTTCTTACAAGAAAATCTTATTTCCTGAAAGGCTGATTCATGTGGTTGGTAAGGGCATCGCCGACAGGGAAGGCCCATCAGGCGGCCTTCTGGGCCGGGGCAGCAGGACGCGGGTCCTTGCACAGGGGCCGCCTCCCTCACAGGCCCAGCTGGGGACAAAAGCCCCCCACTCGCCCCCAGGATCACCACCAGCGTGTGGGCCTCATCGGCTTGTTGTGCTCCTCCCAAAATATTTGGACTCCCTTCGGTCAGTTTTTGGGAGAAACAAGGATGCACCGTGATCGGAGCGCCCGGCACAGAGGCCAGCGCCGCAGCGGGAAGGACAGGAGCCCACTCCTCCCTCTCTCACGCCCACTTCTGCCACTGTCCGGGTCTCCAGGATTTCAGCCCATACACCGAGGGCTGAGGGGGCACCACGTCCCTCATTCTGCCCGAGGGCGGCCAGCCTGGCGGGGACCCAGCGGCCTGGCTTCTCACCTTCTCCCAGAAGCCGATTCTGCTGGAAGATCCTCAGCGTTGGGACGGGAGGGGGTCCCCGGGCACCTGCGGGGTCCCCGGTGCACCAGCCCCCACCCCGTCCTCCCTGCTTCCCGCTCCCCCACACGCCGCCCTCTGTGCGGAGGCTGTGGGCGCCCACGCAAACCTGAGCATCCCCAGGGGTGCGGTCAGCAGGGCCTGTGGTCAGCATCCAGGTCGCTCTCAGGAACACAGGCGCACACGGCGGGGAGCCGCACCTGGGCCCGCACACGGGCAGGACGTCGCTGCCCGAGGCGCAGGGGCAGGTAATTCGGGGGCGCACTGGTCAGTAAGCGTTGGGACCTCGTGCCGCCAGGAGAGCTCTTGGACTTAGCGGTGGGGAGACCGTCCGGAGGGCTGGAAGGTGCTCTAAGGGCAGAGTGTACCCGGGCGCGACTCTGGGGAATGGGCTCAGTGGGGAGGGAGGGGGGACATACCCCGAGAGGCACAGGACCTGTAGCTCCAGGAAGCTGGGGGGCCTCCGGGCCTCATCCACAGGCCATGGGGTCAGCAGGAAATCAGCACCTGGTCCTTCCCAGCAGCAATGGGGAACGTCACAGGACCCGTCACCACAGAGACGGGCTCATTTGCTCTGTAAGAGAGCACTCGGGCTGCCACGCAGAGACCACCTGTGGGAGAGCAAGAGGGGCTGGGGCCTGGGGGGACCAGGAAGGGGAGGGGAGTCCACGGGGGTACCAGCGCCCACCTGGAGGGGAGAGGCGTCCATGAGGAGGATCAGTGCCCACCTGGAGGGGAGGCAAGTCCATGGAGGGTGAGGGGCATCCCTCCCTAGCTTGTTGCCCACCGGCCAGCTCCCTCTGGTCCTGGCTGGCCCTTCCTGGAGAGGCCTCCTCTCCTGCTGCTTAGTTAAGACGCTCCCAATGGAAGGACCACAGGCAGTCAGAGTCCTCAACACTTGGTCCTCAGCACCTGGTCCTCAGTAGAGGGTCCTCAGCACCTGGTCCTCAGCAGACGGTCCTCAGCACCTGGTCCTCAGCACAGGGTCCTCAGCTCCTCAGCACAGGGTCCTCAGCAGACGGTCCTCAGCACCTGGTCCTTAGCACAGGGTCCTCAGCTCCTCAGCACAGGGTCCTCAGCAGAGGGTCCTCAGCACCTGCTTCTCAGCACCTGGTCCTCAGCAGAGGGTCCTCAGCACCTGGTCCTCAGCAGAGGGTCCTCAGCAGAGGGTCCTCAGCACCTGGTCCTCAGCACAGGGTCCTCAGCGCAGGGTCCTCAGCACCTGGTCCTCAGCACAGGGACCACGCAGGCCAAGCCACTCCTTTTCCCTGCGCTCCCGCTGCTGGCACGGGGCTGGACCCATGAGTTGTTCAGAAACCTCTAGGTCACAGGTGAGCGAGATGAGGTGTCCGGATGCCCAAAGCCTTTTGCGTTTTCACCTGAGGGAACAGTTCTCCTGCCGCCCGGGGACCCACCAGAGAGCCGGGCCCTGCTTCCTGGAGCTGGTTTGCTCCCCATCATCTAGTAAAGCCCGTTTCCCAAAACGCCACGCCCTGCTTTCCGCCAGGCGCCTTAGCTTCCCGGGTGCCCCCCCCCCCCATCGGCTCAGGCTGCAGCTCACCCCTCAGTAGAGAGCTCTGGGCCTGAGGCAGGTGGCACGTCCACGGGCCTGTGGGGAGTACTTATTTCTCGGGAAACTCTGTGCCTGCCTTTATCTCCTCGTTGGTTTGGTGCAGCCTGGACCCCCCGAATTGCCCCACGACTGTGTTGGGAGAGGACTGAGTAGATTGAACCGGCTTACCTGCACTCTGGAACCTGGACCCTCCCTGCCCGGCCCGGCCCAGCCGGGCGCTCTCCCTCCACATCCCGGCTCTTGGGACCACCCACCTGTGGAGGGGAGCCTGTGCCCAGCCCGCCTCCTCCCTCGATCTGCTGGTGGTTTTTAAGGCAGAAAAACCTAAGGCTACGTCAAAAGATGTGCCTTTATATCAGTTTCTCCCTGGCGTGTTTTTATTGTGAAGCACTCTGGAACCATGAGGGACAGAGAATTAAGCTCTCCTGTGACCTACGAGTTGTAACCGTTTAACATTTTGGTACAGTCTCAGCTGGTCATTTTTCTACATTTCTGCCTCAAAACCTACCCCAGATGCAATTTGTTTCTGTGGCTCCCACACCCAGCAGGTCACCTGCCCCTGGGCAGCGGCCGGCAGACACACAGCCCCTCCCTGATGACCTAGACCTCAGGTGTCCTAACCGTGAAGGCCAAACTCCAGTGTGTGTCCCATGAGGGCCGGAGCGGCTGCTGGACACCCCCCCATCCTGTCTGCAGAGCCTTCTGCTCCCTCCGCTTCCTTCCATCAGCCGCTGGCCACAGGTGTTTGCACCTGCAGTTCCCTCTGCCTGGGAGGGTCTACACTGCAGGGCACCTGAGAGCCTCGTAACCCCTCCTCCAATGCTCACCACCAGGCCGCCCTCCCAGAGCAGCCAGGCCGGGGTCCCGGGGCTGTCTCTCTCTTTCTCTCTCTCTCTCTCACACACACACACTTCCTGCCACTGGTCCACAGGCCAGCTTCCTGGTTACTTGGTCCAGACGCTCAGCTGCTGCCCCCAGGAGCACGTGGCCACACCTGACTTACTCAACCCTGGCCCCAGGCCCTGGCAGGGAAGCCAGGCACAGAGCAAAGGTGCTCAGTCTTTGTCGGAGGGAAGCAGGAATGAGAAAGCCAGATGGTGTGTGGCGACCGGTGAGAGGCGGGCGGAGAAGTCAGTGCAACAGGGACTGGGCTTTCACTGCCCCAGAGGGAGAGGAGAAGCAGGCGGCAGCCCGGCCCCTAGGGCACACGGGGACACACTCAGATGGGAACGATGAGTCAGCAGGACCTGCCTCTCCCAGGCTCCCGAGTGCCCAGGACACTGTGGCCTGCTGGCTGCCTTTAAGTGTCCAGAAGCACGCCTCCGGGAGACCTCTAAGGCATCCCTGTACTGACAACGGGGTTTCTCTGGGCTCCTTTCTCTACCTGGAATCAGAGACTGTCCTTCCCGCTTGATGGCCAATCATCTAGCCCCTGGGACACTGGAGCTGCTGGGAACCTCCTGGGTGTCCCCCCACATCTGTGTGTCAAAGCTCTAACACCCAGCGGGATGGCGTATGCAGGCAGGGCCCCTGGGAGGTGATAGGGTTAGATGAGTTAACGAGAGTGGAGCCCAAGACAGGAGGTCAAGAAGGAGATGCCAGAGTGCTGGCCCTGCCCCTGTCCCTGTCCCCTGTCCCTGTCTCTGCCGGTTGAGGACACAGTGAGGAGGTGGCCGTCTGCACCCAGGAGGAGAAAGCTCAGCAGGAGCCGAACCTGCCAGCACCCAGGCCGTGGACCTCCAGCCCCGCAGTCTGTGCTGTTCTGTGGTCGCAGCCTGAGCTAAGGCCATTGGTGACATGTTTTTGCTCAGCTAGAGTGACACCATCACCACCAACAACAAAAACAAGGACTGGATCAGACGGGGTGAGTAGGGGGGTATTTTTCTCACCTATGGGATGTTCACCCCTAGGTCATGGCTGGCGTTTGCTTAACATCTTGAGGAGGTCAGAGCTCTTCCCTCCAGGCCTCAAGGTGGCCACGGCTGCTCCAGCCGCGCAGCTGGACTCCAGCAGGAACAGAGGAGAAAAGGGACAAGGCAAAGAGGTTTTCTGGAATTGCCTGGTGACGTCTGTTGTCTCATCGACCCGATGTGTCATGGGGTCACCCCCGCCCGCAAAGGGAATCAGAAAGGAAGGCTACTCTGCAGGCTCAGTGGTACCTCCAAGTCCAGGCTCTTTCAGTAAGAAAGGACAAGAAGATGGATACTGGGTAGGGAAACAACAGTTTCTCCCAAATTAGTGAGACATATTCAGTTAGATTCTAAAAATAGTGCATTGGTGGAAAGAAAAAAAAAGAAACTATGTCTATATACGCCTTTCCTCCTTGTTAGGGCTGATTATATAGCCTTAACTATCTGTTTCCAAGCAATAAGTTTTGGGGCTTTTTAAAACTTTTTAATGAGAGGCTCCTTAAGAAAATAAATTCTGTATTTCCCTCCTAGGTCTCTGGATTGAATTGCATGATCACAGGATTTTTTTTTTTTTTTTTTTTTTTTTTTTTAGTGTATAAATGGTTTATTGGCAATGAGAAATACCCTTAACTTGTCTGGGTTATAAAACATCTGCTGTCCTCTGGGGTCTCCAAATACTCTCATTCAATCACATTTTTTTTTTTTTTAAACAGACAAAAGTACAGAGTTCAGGGCAGGGAATTGGGAATGTCCTTATACGTTGTAGCCACAAAATTCCCACAACCTGGGAAGGTGGTCGAGGCAAAGGTTTAGACCGCCCGGATGAAAACAGCTCTGCCACCAACACACGGCGTCCCGACTTGCCTGTTTATGGGAGCGGATTCTCCAAGCCGCTCACCTGTTCCCCTGATGGTGCAGGTAGACACGAGTAGCGCTCGATGACAGGGATGCCTGGGAGAGGGGGCGGGAGACCGTGAAAAGGGCCCCGAGGGGCCAGAGTACGGAGGCTGAGGACACCAGGCTCTAGGGGAGAGTTTGGTTCCACTAGTTTGGGGGTTTGGGAGAGGAAGGGGGTGGCATGTAGCCCCATTAGGGCCGAGGGCGTTCCTGGGACAGTGGTAGGTGAGGCCAGGCAGTGCACAGGCCTGGTTTCCAAGGGCCAGGAGCATCTCTGAGAGGGGCTGAGGGCCTGCTGCACCCTCAGGGGAGCTTAGCTCAGCCAGGTGGGAACCCCCAAGGAGGTGGGGGCCACACTAATCGAGGGGGGTTCCTAGGGAGACATTCATGACCTCGGCTAGAGGCTGGAGGCCCGCAGTTAAAGCAGGGGAGGTGCACGGAGACTCTGAGCTGGCTGCAGGTCAAGGGAGCTGAAAGGAGCACCTGCCAGTGCTGTTGGTGAGCTCGACAGAGGCATCCGCGGCGGTCCTCCCTCGGTGTCTCCAGGATAATCCCATTAATTAAAATAGGACCAGGGACGGGGCGAGAGCCTGCGGGAACTGTTCTGCATGAATCTGATGCCACATAGGAAGCTTGGGATCGAGATGTCAATTAGGGGGACAGCCGGGGACTGAGGGGAGGGGAGGTGGGCTCCCCAGGAGAGAGGCCAGAGCAAAAGGTGCAGGGCTCAGCCAGGCCAGGAAAGCAGAGTCAGCAGGGGTGCCAGGGGCCCGCAGAGCAGGTGCGAGGGGCAGGAGGGCCGCCAGATGGGCCCTTGGCAGAGCTAGGTGCCGGCCTTTCCCTAAGTCGCCGTGACCTTCCCCCCATGGCTGCTGCTGTGCCGGGTTTCCTTGTCTGCACCGTCATTTTCAGAAATGATTTCCATTTAACGTTAAAGACAAAACCCAGTTTCAATTATTGGGACAAGTTGCCCTCCGTAGAACTTTCCAGCGGGCTCTGCTGGGAAACAGCAAGTGATGACTTTCAATAACCCCAGATGTGGAAAAGCGTGGGCCCAACGGGAGACGGGAAATCCCGCACGGCCATCCATGGGCCAGAGGGCTCGTCCTGGGCCCCGGTCTCTGGGTCTCCACTCCCAGTCTCCCCACTCCCGCTGGCCCCCCCCCGGGCTGCAGGGTGTCCTCGGAAGCCCCCTAACTGCCAAGACCCAGGCTGGCCCGAGCTCCAGAGGCACAGCCAGCCCCCAGTGGTCGTGGGCTGGCACGTCCGTGTGCGGCGGCGCTGTGGGCTCTGTGCTGGGCTCAGGTCCCCATCCCCCCGACACCCCAGGGCAGCTCAGACCTACAAACCAAGACGGTCCTGAAGCCAGTGACTGTGAGCTTGCGGAGGGGGAGGGTGCAGGAGGGGCTGTGGGGGTCTAGAAAGAGGGACCGTCACCCCGTCCGTCTGGGAGTTCAGACCTGGAACAACCTTTCCGAGGACCCTCCCCTCCCCCACGCTGGCTCTACCTACGGAAGCCTTGGCGACACTGGGGGAGGGGTCT